TTCTCTTCAGAAGAGTGATGAGGTGCATGTGCAGCTAACACTGGGGCTGGGAAGCCACGCAAGGAGCCGGACTCAGGGGTGTCTCAGGCTGTCGGTCAGTTCTGGCTGCAATGGCAGGGGACGCCAGGGAAGGGTTTACACTGTGGAGCAATGTGTTTTATGACAGCTCCTCTGTCTGAGGGGTGAGGGTGAGGTTGACAGCCCAGTCAGTTGTGATGACACGTGAGATGGGGTGCTGGCCTCTATGAGGACAGCCACGTGGGGGGAGAGAGGGCTGGGTCTGAGCACAGCGTGGCTGTGGGGCCCGTGGGACCTGGCGGTCTCCTGTGCACAACAGGAGGAGCTGGCGAGTGGTGGCTTATATACACCTCAGGGAGCCCCGGAGGAAGTCGCTTTGGAGTATAATGATTGTCTCAAACAGGTTAATTCGAGGTGTTTTTAGGATATATATGAAGCTTCTGGTTAGTTTGATCTGAAGCTTGAGATAGATCTGGACTAGAGAGAGAGATTTTACATGTCATTGGCCTAGATGGCACTTGGAGCCATGGAGTGGAATGAGGTTGCCAGAAAGAGTGTGAGCAGCGAAAGAGATATTGGGATGAAGGGAGGTGGGAGAGTACCTATGGGAGATGAGAGGAGCAGCCGGAAAGGTGGGCTGAGGCCAGGAGAACAGAGTTTCTTTGAAGCCAAGGAACAGTATTTCAGGGAGGAGGGAATGATCAAACATGGCAAATGCTGCAGGAAATTGACCAAGGAAAAAACCGGAAACTGTCACTAGCAGGAGTTGAGGGAGGCTCTAGTTGGGGCAGGTCAGTGAGCTCCCTGTTGTGGGAAGCCAGGCCGAGGCAGGCGATAGGAGCCCGAGCCACTCTTGTGCACAGGGGCACAGGGCAGTGTGGTTGAGAAGTCGGCGATGGCTGTGGGGCTTTGTTTGTTTGAAGGTAGTTTTAAATGCTTATGGGATAAAGGAAGTAGAGGCTGAAAAGCATAGGGATGGGAGGAGGGGATGGATTCAGAGCATGAAAGTGTGGGATTCGCATTCAGGAGTGAGCTGGGGATGCGCACAGAGCCAGGAGGTGAGGCTCGCACACTGGAAGGATGGCTGCTCCCTCCTAGGGCGGAGGGGAACGAGCGAGAAGACAGTGGGATTGGGGTGCTGGAAGCAGCCACTTTTAGAGTCAAGAGAGAAGGAAGGGGTCCTGGGCAGTGTTGCGGATGAGCTGGAACGGGATCCTGAGAAGGGGAGGCTGGCACCAGCGTTGCAGAGTGATGGTGTTTTTGTAGATGTTTTTCATTTTGTGGCCATTCAGTTGCGTTTTTATTTCCAAATGTGGTGACATTAAAGAATCTAGAACTTTAATCAGCAGTGGAGAACGTGTGTAGCCAAGGAAATCAGAGATAATAGAATTAATGACTTAATCAGTGCATATCTACTTTTAGACTGACTTGAATGAAGCCAGAGAAAAACTCCTGGTTTCATAAATAGGAGCTTAAAAGTGACATGTAAACATGTTAGCAGAAGTGTATATAGCATGCTACTAAAAACCAACATGTTATCCAAATACTGTTGGGTTGTCAGTTTGGCTCCATGAGAAGAACTCTGCAGGAGACCCAGAAGTACGGACTAGAAAGAGCAGGACAGACTTCAGTTTTTGTGGAATTGAAGTTCCTTCATTGCATGTAGAGAATTGACTGGAACTAGGAAATGGAGAGCAACCACAGTAAAGATTTTTGTGCTTCTGTAAACAAATACAGGGTCCCCCAGAGATAGCACTGCCAGGAGCCTACCTAACATTTTCATAAGGAGTCTGTGATGAAATCCAGCGTTTTGTCAGTCTTGTTAAACTTTCTCTGATAGAATTGTCAGGATGTTTGTGTCAACTGTGTAGTTGTTTCAAAAGACTAGAAAGTAAGCAGACAGTGTTCACCGTGAGTGAGCATGGAGCAGCGCATTTAGGGACACGGTGCATATGTGGAGACACATTTGGACACTAGACGTCATAGTGAGACCTGAGTGTCCTTATGTGTGGTCTGTAAAGACCTTAGTCAGTTTGTGTCTCAATGAAAAAATCCACCAGAACTCTGTGATAAAATTAGGAACATTATATAAAAAAAAAAA